GGGCTACAATGACAAGAAGTTGGAGTCAGGAGCTGGGGCTGGAAACTGAACCCAAGACCTCCAACGTGGGACACAGGTGTCTAAATTCAGGTGAGTGAGCATTCTCACCACTTGGCTAAATCATGTCTGTTCCTCTTTTTCTGATTTTAACTCCGAAAGGAATGCAAGTAACGAGAGTGCTTACTGCATAGTCAAAATTGTGGTTCTCGAGCAAGAAGCTGACCGAAGTTGGGGAGGGCTTGGGTATTGCCATTTTTGAGAGCACCGTTGAAGCCACAGGTAGGGACAGGGGGGTCCAGGGGTGGTGGGAGAGCAGGAGGGAGGTGGGCGTGTGAAGGCTGAGGAGTGAGAGCTGCGGGCAGGGATTCCCAGCTGCACCCCTGCGGCGGCTGCTGCCCCGCACCCCTCGGCCCCAGGTTGGGTAGGTGGAGGAGGGCTGGGGAGCGAGTGGGCTGTGACGCAGAGAGGGTTAAAAGCCAGAGTGCTTTCCAGATGTCGACAGCCGGGTGCAGACAATTAGGAGGTTGTCTTTTTTCCTCTCTCCCAGGACCCCTAACACAAACTGTCTGAACCACAACAGTCAAGTCTGACCGTATCAAATAAGTAAGGCAGAGAGAGACCCCGTGAAATAGCTGTGGTTAGTGGCTGCTGGGGCTGGGCTGGGGTATGTGGCGTTGGGGGGGTGGGGGAGGTGGCTCCAGAGAGAGAGACTTGCTTTTAATCAATGTGCTAATCCAGGACATAAGGTGTCCTTTCTCTTCCCTGCTCACTTCATTTCCTAGGGCCCAGGCCTCTCCCAGTCCCCCCTCACTGATTCAATGGAAATTTGGTCCGGTTCTTCTTTCTCTCTTTTTTTTAATATAGATACATTAAAAAACAGACACTGATCTTCAAAGAAGCCTGCAATTTCCCTGGCGACGGAATGTTTATAGCCACAATTTGTTTGGTTCTGATAGAATGCACATGCCCCATTCTTCCATTGGACTCTGCTTCCCAATCCAGACTTTCTGCATGGGCTTGTCCCCTGTCCCACCAGGAAGGCGCAGAGTGGGAGAGGGAGGCAGGGACTGAGACGGGGGAGACAAAGAGGGTGTGCCCTGCCCAGAGCTGGAGCCGGTCTTACCTGGGGTGTTTTGTACTTGACTTCCTGGGGTCCAGAGGTCATGGGATGTGGCAGGAGGGGGCCCGGCCCTGGGGTTCTGCAGAATCGCGGCCCAGTGGGGCACTTCAGACCCTCTGTGCATCGTGTCAAGGGCGATAATAACCTTTGCAGATAAAATCTCCCCAGCCCCTTCAGGGAGGTTGTGGGGTGGAGGTAGGAGGGTCCTACAACCAAGGCAACATGGACTCGGTGTGAGCTCAGCCGCTCTCTTGCTGGGGTGACCTTGATGGAAACTTCTTTCAGTTGGTTTTCCCCACCTGAGAACCAGAGGCGTCTCTGTCGCAGAGTCATGTGAGGCTAAACATATGGGAGCGAGGCCAGCCGGACCGAGCGAGGTGCCTGGGAGAGAGCAGAGGCGAGGGCTCCGCCAAGCAGAGGGAACCCAGAGCCAACTTCCAGGCAGGGGGGCCATGGCGTGGCAGCCTGGGGGAGGAGACGGTGGGATGACTGAGGCCTTCAGGGAAGAAAGGAGCAGCAGGAAGTACGGCTGGCAGAGAGCAGCCAGGCTGTGAGCGCTCCTCAGGCCTTGGAGTGCCACTGGCAGGCACTGAGGGGCCTCGGGATGCAGAGTAGAGGGCCTGGCGCGTTTAGGTTGTACTGTAGTGGGTTGGCGTCAGGG